TCTGATGCTGCTGCCAGAAGACAGAATCGCGAACGTCAAGCACTGAGTGAAATGATTGGGATTGTTGCTCCAGACTTAAAAGGGCAGTTCGGTGGAACTGTGGATGACAGTGATGATCACGGGAGAGAAAAAGAGGGTACTGCATCCGACTCAGATACCGAGAGTTGTTCGAACAATGAAGAAGATAACAGAACTGATGCTAAAGGTGGATCAATGTCGGATTCAGAGACTGAGGGTAGTGATCAGGTTGCCGAAGATAAAAAATTGGGTGATGCAATGGATGAAGATGAACAAGATACAGAAGATTCTCTTGGATAATAGGCATGTAATGAATGCACTAACTACTCTAATACTTATCTGGTTTGGACACAAATGGACCTGTAAATACGCAAGACATGTCTGGATTTCGCGTCTCCGTGCAGTTAACAGTTATGGTGTATATATTTAGCTTTTTCTATACCCTTTTCACCAAGGAATTAAATTTTTTGTTTCTTGCTTTTGACTGGCGAGGGCAGGCAATGATCAAATGCCATGGGGTGATGATCTAGTATGTTGAACCCAGGTAGTAACTTGGCATGCCTAAATTTGCCCCCTCAAAAATGGGATCCGAGTAAGGTATGGTTTTTTGAAATTTTTGAAGAGTAGATTTGTCTCAGTATTAATTTTTTGAGTACATGTTGCTCCGCTCTCCCCTCCCCTCCCCCTCCCCTCCTTGTCATTCTTATAATTGGGATTTTATGTTCATTGAGGCTTAAGAGTCCCCTTCCCCATCTACGGTCGAAAGTTTGAGCACTGGTGACATTCTATCTTTGCAAATGCGACCTGCCCTGGAGAAAATGTGCATTGGAGACTCGATCAGACTGAGAAAACATGTAACATGTGTTAACCCTTTAGCACATGAAAGATACACCCATTATGTGTAAGCTTTTCTCCGGGAGGAGAAGAGTTCATGGTCTAAGAATCCTTTTTCTCCAAAGCAAAGGCATACCATGTCATTTAGAGAGTCAAATTTTAGTTGTTGGATTATGATCTCAAAGTAATGAGCACTTTTGGCTTACAAGTCAGAAGCAGTGAGTTTCGTCAACCAAGTGGATAATTTAGGAAGTCAAAATTGTCAAGGCAGCAATCAATATACTTTATTTTTTTTATTTTTTATTTGGACGAATCAATATACTTAATTCGTTCC